TTCATGGCTGCTGCTGCTGCTGCTGATGATGACGATGGTGATGATGATGACGATGATGACGATGGTGATGATGATTATGAGGAGGAGGGTGATAATGAAGATGATCATATTTAGTTTTAGTGCCGCTTCCTCTTCTACTTCACCACTATTCATTACTCAGAATTAACAAAATGCCAAATGCAAATGTGACTAATTACTTTGCTCACTGTAACAGAAATGTCACACGCAGCCAATAAAAAAGCCACGAGAGGAGGCAGAGTGAATCCAACCAGTATAGAGCTGCGGTCTCGTCAAGTCAAATGAGCTGTGGACCACTGCGATTTGATTGGAGGGCTGCATCAGTGTTCAAGGTTCAATACAAAAAATAAATAAATAAACAACATCAAAATTTTATTGACACCTAATCATGGACCAGATGTGTAGGGTTGGGCAGCCAGGAGTGGCCCCCGGGCCAGAGGTTTGGTAACAAACTCGCTGTCAGAGGTAAAACTACACAGCAACACATGATCCTGGCCCTTAAAAGATGTCTGTAAATATCCAAAGGTCAAAAGTCAAGCCCAGCAGCAAATCACAGTCGATAAAAAAGTTTTCTTCTGATGACTCGGTGACTCCTGAGGTTCTGTGGGGAAAGAGAAGGCGGCGTGTCGGTGGAGTTGTGTGGCACTGAGCATCATCACGTGGATCGTCTTTGTTGTGTTCTCTCCAAACCACTGCAGCGACCTTCACATTACACTGCAGCTCTAGGAACTTGTTCTACCTTCAGGTGTAAACCTCAGTAACCGTGGTTTCCATCTTCGTCGTTGTTGTTGTCTGTCGTTGAATTGGTGGTAAAAGTTCCTAACTGTTTTGTTTCTATTTCGCTTTTATTATCATGATCTCTGTGCTCCAGGCCTGTTGACGCTGTTAGGATTCGACACTATTAGAATCTTTCCAGGGATTCTTACATTTTTATCTCATGCACACAGTTCTCCTTTTCTTAATGGTGTAATAAACACTGTGTTCTCTGCAATTCAGAAATTAGAATCAAAATGATTCCCCAAGTACGTACATGTCAGAAATAGACAAATGACAAATGATGAAGTTATATGATGGCTCAGAAAAAGAAATCACTGGAAGTGCTAATATTATTACCAGAAAAAAAAACCATTAAATCAATAAAGTTATAGTGAATGACTTTAATTAGTTTTACTTTTTAAAGTAAAATGTCACGACCGATATAAAATAATATATCTCTAAAAGAACCTGAACTTTATATATATATATATATATAAATAGCTAAGGTTTAGGTACGACAGAAATGACTTAAAGCCAGGATATATTTTAGTTCAGTAGGACTGATTAATCTCCTCATTCCCGGTGCAGACTTTTTAAATATATGTAAAGTCACATTTTAAACTTGTACTCGTACAAACTGTCATCTCCGTTCTCTAGAAGCAAAAATGTCAACCTGGTGTAGGAGATAACACGACTGTGTGTGTGTGCCTCTCAAACATACATTTAAAACATTAATTTTAAATATTTTTAAAACTCTCAGTATTCTTTTTTTTTTGTATTTTTTTCTCTCCTGTTTCTCTACATCTGGCCTGCAACAGAACCTTGAAGCCTTGGCATCTGACAGATCTGAGTTTAGGGAAACCTGTTGGATTTCTGTTCATCTTTGGTGGTCAGATGTAGAAAACACACTGACCTCATTTGCTCTTTTACCTTTGAATACTATAACAGCTGCTGATGCTACGTGCTAACTACCTGCTACGGCCATAGAAAGAGCAGCAACACAACAATTTGTCCAGCCAACGTTTTGTACATGTTTGTCCCACAGTGTGAAGTTGAGATTTATTTGACTGCTCGGAACACGATGTGCAGGCACCTCTGTTTGTTTGATGATGTTTGTCTCTGTGTTTTAAAGGTCCCCATCTGTCCTTGAGCTAAGCAGTGTGGACCTCAGCTGTCTGTGTTTATGATGTAAGCTCTCTGATTCATGCTGCTCTGCTGCCACTGACCCGTGGCATGACTCCCCGGGGGAGAGGGAGGACGAGTAAAATCCATCACTCCAGTCAAAAACCAAACTGTTGTGCAGTGACTGAGTAAGGAGGAGGGGCGGGGAAAGATGGAGAGAGAGAGAGAGAGAGAGAGAGAGCATAAGAATTGGACGTAACATTCTAGATGTTACAGATTGAACTTCAGGGTCCATCAGTTAGTCACCATGGGTTGGACAGGTTCCGGTGGTGGCAGAGAGATGTATGTGTTCCTGGCTGAGTCTTTTTTTTTTAACGTCCTTGTAGAAAGTTTTATTTCAACCACAGCTGGTGAACAACTAAAGTTTGACTTCTGTATTTAATGAAACCGCCCCCCAATAAAAGATTCATTATTGTATTATATTTACAGCTTATTATTATTCCTCAAACTGCATGAACTTTTCCTGTGTCTCTCCTCCTCTCCTGGGGTTCTATCCCACTGAGGACACCGAGGTTCAGCCCTGTTGTTGTGGTCAGTGGTCAGTGCTGTCGGTGTCTGACACTGTCAGACTGAGGTGTTGCTCAGAAGTGGGTCAGTGTGTGCATCACTGTGCACAGCAGCCTCTCTGTCTCTGTATTTTTCCCCCGAGTGAAAAGAGAAATCCCACTAGATTTGAACCAGATCCTTTCAAATTTGAGTACTTTTGGAAACTGTGACTTATCTATCCTGAGGCTGAGTAAATGAGACACAGTCTGACTGAAGCCTCAAGTTTGGAATATGACATTTTATATAATTCAAATTTGACATCATTTAAATTTCCTATTTATTTTCTCAACCCCAGTGCATTTGGTGTTTTTATCGTGTGTATCCTGGACTGAAACCCTAAAGCTCAGAGAGAAGATTCAGACTTTTGGCTCTCGCTACAGTTACACTGTGACTCACTCTTTTACTGCTGCCCATTAAGAGTAAACCAACTCATGTATTATTAATCTGTGTGGCTCTCGCCTGCCTTTTTTTCCCCTGTCAGCATCAGAGTGCATCTGAATGTGATAGTCCCTGGTGATGGTGATACATTCTCTCTCATCGCCACTTGATCTGAAAAACAAACTTTCAAGACAGCTGTGTCATGTCTGAGGTTCCTGAGCGCTTTGTTCAGGAACAATCCAGGAAACCGACTCTTAAGTTTTCTTTGAACTTGCTCTCCTTTTTTCCTCCTCTGCTAAATCGTAAACACTGGGGTTTGGTCTTTCCGATCTAATGCCAGATGCTTTTTGACGACCTCTGGGTTTCAAAACAGCGTGTAGGAGAACGATGACAGCTAGCCAGAAGGAACGGTGAACCTCTAGTGACTCATCTCATCTTCCTACCAAAAAGGTCCGATAATCATTTGGAAATGTTATTCAGTCAAATGCCACATCCAGCAAAAATGCATTGACACACGCTTGATTAGAGAAGTCGTATGAAATGAGTGACACACTGATTCAGTGTGTCACTCATTTCAAACCTAGTTTTAAATGAACACAGTGTAGGATTTAGCGACACCTGGTGGTGAAGACTAATGTGAACGGGGGATTTCTGGCAAAATAAAGTGTAAAATCCTAAAAAAAGGGAGTCATTTCTGCCAGCAGGAAATATAACACAAACTGTAATAATTTCCTATTGGCTGGGCTCGTGTTGATGCCTGGTGATAATACATTCACTCTGCTTGTCAAAATGTGGAGCAGACGGTCCCAGTGCTGCAGGAAGAGCCGAGGAGATGCAACATGCACGAATTCGGTTGAAGTTCTCAGCGTCCTCATTTTAAAAGCTCAAATGAATTAGTAAAAAAAACAGACGTTGACCTGAATCACTGTTAAACAGAACTGTGTTTCTGTAATAAACATGCGTCAGAAGTTGTTTTTCTCCACAGCGTGAGAATATGCCAAGAGTCTCTCTACAGAGTTCAGCTGACTATTTACTAAACTGCAGGAAACACTGGTAATTTAAAGGTGTATTCATGTAACTCAAGACGATGATGAATTTTGAGATTTATTTTTTTTCCGATCCTGTTCTTTGAAAATTCATTAATCATCTTTGAATTTCACTGCTGCTAATGTTAAACTGTTGGAATATGCTCATTCAATTTCTCAGTCTACAGTCTACAATCAAGCAGAATTACCCCCCCCCCTTGGGCTTTGAGTTTTCTCAGTCCAGTGGCTTTCAAAGTGTGAGGCATGCTGGTGGAGCACTCAAGTAATGGCTTTCAAAGTGTGAGGCATGCTGGTGCCTCCCCAAGTAAAGCTGCAAAACAAGGGAAAAGAAGCAGTGTGAGAAAACATCTGAACTAGTTCACTTCAATGAGAAGGAAGGAATAGGTTTGTGTCTGTCTGGGTTTTCATGAACTGGTGTTTGACGTCATTTTTGTCATTATTTTACAGGATGAGTCTAATTGAACCTGTTTATGTTTATCTATATGTTTGTGCATATGTATTTGTGAAGGTTAAGGTTAACAGGCCCCTCTGGTCTTCTCTTATCTGAGGGATTAAATGCACAGCAGCACAGTCTCTTCATGCTCTTCTACCACTGCCTCCCTGTACAGTAAATGTTTGACAATAAAATTGCCTTGTCTGAGGTCAGCTGACACACTGCCCTGAAACTTCATTTTCTCCATATTTTCTTCCTGTGATCACCAATAACTGTTTTGTTTCCATTTCTCTCCTGCTTCCTTATCTGCAGGTGTGTGGTGTACTGACCCTGCCTGCCACAGGGGAGGAGTCAGAGGACCAGGGTCATGAGTGGCTCTCCTGGCCCTGGTGGGTGTGCCTTAGTGCCATGGAAAAAGATGTGGCGGTGGATCCTGGCGTCTGCCCTGGTCGCTATGGTCACCCTGATGCTACCTGGAAGTGGGCAGGCCTGTCCGCCACGGTGCGAGTGCTCAGCTCAGCTGAGGTCGGTGTCGTGCCAGCGGAGGCGGCTCACCAACATCCCAGAGGGCATTCCTACAGAGACACAGCTCCTGGACCTCAGCAAGAACAAGCTGCGCTGGGTTCAGGCTGGTGACCTGGCCCCTTACCCACGTCTGGAGGAAGTAGACCTCAGTGAGAACCTCATCTCCACCTTAGAGCCCAACGCCTTCGCCTCCCTTCCAAGTCTCAAAGTGCTAAAGCTAAGGGGAAACCAGCTGAAGTTGGTTCCTATAGGGGCCTTCGCCAAGCTGGGCAATCTGACCAGTCTGGACCTGAGTGGGAACAAGTTGGTGATTTTATTAGACTACACTTTCCAGGATCTGAGGAGCCTGAAACATCTGGAGGTGGGAGACAACGAGCTGGTATACATATCCCACAAGGTAACGTTGCAGCATTGTTTCAGACTGTGACTGTTTTTCTGATGAAACTCTGGCTGAAGGAACATTTTATCAACAGAATGTCTTTGCCCTCAGAAGAATCAGACATTTAAACTCCTACGCATAGACTAAAATCTGGTATTTACCAATAAAAACTAAAGCAGTTCAAACAGCTTCACATTAAAGCTGTGGTTTCTTTGAGGCTATTTTTCTTTGTTTTTAATGTCGCATAAATAATCAGCTTTGCTAAATCACACAGAAAGTTTTACTGTGAAGCACAACTCTACTCTGAGAGACAAACGTGTATATACAGTATATACTCTGCTGTATCAGGAAATGTGTTGCCACTTAATGCTCGTCATACGTTTACTGTAATCTAGGGAAGTCCGATACTTTCAATAACGTTAACCTTAACGATATTATCAAGGCGATATTAGCATATATTAATATAGATAGATATATTAATATCTGTAAGAATAGTTTTTTCCTCTGTTGGATATCGGCAAAAAGTTAATATTGCATATCGCTACTGTAACCTAATATTTAACATTGAATCGAAATATTTTTCGAAGTATAACAATCCAGATGACCAGCAGTTTGAGTGCTGTTTTCTCAGTCCACACATGGTTACTCCAGTCTCTAATGTTTACATGTGTATATGAATCAGCTGACTCTACCTTAGAGCTTCAGTCAACAGATCATATTCCGCCATATTGTTTGTCCAGCACAGACATTCTATTTAAACTTTTTGATTTTTCCAGGCATTCACAGGACTGCTGGGACTGGAGGACCTCAAAATAGCCCACTGCAACCTGACATCCATCTCCGGTCAGACACTGTCCTACCTGCGCAGCCTGGTCACTCTTCGCCTCCATCACCTCAGCATCACTGCCCTGGAGGACCAGAATTTCAGAAAGCTCTCCAACCTGCGCGGTCTGGACATTGATCACTGGCCGTACCTAGAATACATCTCCCCGCTGAGTTTCCAAGGCTTGGACCTCCGCTGGCTGTCCATCACCAACACCAACATCACCTCTGTCCCATCAGCTTCCTTTAAGAACCTGCTCCACCTCACTCACCTCAACCTGTCCTACAACCCCATCACCACACTGGAGCCCTGGGCCTTCAGAGACCTGCTGAGGCTGAAGGAGCTCATCATGGTCAGCACAGGCCTGAAGACGGTGGAGCCTCATGCCCTGGGAGGCCTTCGACAAATCCGGGTCCTGAACTTCTCCCACAATGCCTTGCAGACTCTGGAGGAGGGTTCCTTCCACTCTGTCAACAGTCTGGAGACGCTCAGAGTGGACGAGAACCCTCTGGTGTGCGACTGCCGTCTGTTGTGGATCCTGCAGAGACGCAAGACCCTCAACTTTGACGGCAGGGTACCGGTGTGTGCAGGGCCGGTGGAGGTGCAGGGGGTCAGCCTCAGCACCTTCACCGACTCTGCACTCTTCGACCACTTTACGTGCCAGAAGCCCAAAATACGCAACCGAAAGCTGCAACAGGTAATGACTGTGATTCATTTGAAAAATTTAGTAAAGGAGTAGGACAAAATGTTAAAATGCACATCATTTAAACTCTAATTTTTTGGGGTCCACCTGTCATGTCTCCGTTCCCCACCAGAGGGGCCCGCCCTATACTTTGAGAAGCACTGGCCTAGTGTGTTTATTTTAGACAGCAGGTATTGTTGTTGGTGTTAGAACAAGTTAAGGACATTTGTCCTTGTCTCTGTCCTTGATCAGATTGATAACTCTACAGTGAACTTTTATTTTTTATTGTGACAAAATCACCTTTTTTCATATAATGGAAATGAATTTTGACCTTGACATTCTTTTGTATTAGCTTGGTTTAGTTTATTGTTTCACGCCTGTGTTTCTGTTGTTCCAAAGGTAATCGCTCGTGAAGGCCAGCAAGTGAGTTTTCTGTGTCGAGCTGAAGGAGAACCCACGCCTGCTATTGTCTGGATTTCCCCACAGCGCAGACGGATCACCACAAAGACTGCAGGACGGATTACCGTCCTCCCAAGTGGAACCCTGGAGATTCGCTACGCCCAGCTTACTGACACTGGAACGTACATCTGCATCGCCAGCAACGCCGGAGGCAACGACACGTACTTCGCCACACTCACCGTACGTGGTCAGCCGCTGGACGCCGCGTCGGCCTTCTTCCTCAACCGCTCGCTGTACAGCAGCGAATTCCTGAACGACACCAATCTGAACAGCACTCGCGTTTTTCTCAAGTTCACCTTGGACCTCACCACCATCTTGGTTTCCACGGCGATGGGCTGCATCACTTTCCTCGGAGTGGTTCTCTTCTGTTTCCTGCTGTTGTTCGTGTGGAGCCGGGGACGCGGCCAACGCAGGAACAACTTCACAGTGGAGTACTCTTTCAGGAAATCTGAGCCTGCCACCGGAGGCACCTCAGGAGGGACCAGAAAGTTTAACATGAAAATGATATGAAACAACGCAGCCAGAGGTCCCTCGGGGGAGGCATGAGCACGTCCCAAAAACGTGTCTGACTCACGCAAACTCACACAGCTGATGACAGTCCTGCAGCCATAGACGGCGTTGGCTTCATTTAGCTTAAGATCAAATATGAATGATATTTGGCGTTAAAAAAAAAGAATATTGGGTATTTTGAACCTCAATTTAATTCAGAAGTAAAATCTACAGTAAGTCTAATAAACTTAAATGTTTATCAGAGATTGCGATACTATCAAAGTGAAGGATTTGGAACCTTTCTTTGCTGGATTCTGATGAGCTGTGTGAGTTTGGGACGAGCGCACTGGCCGCGAGCTGCCGTGTCTGCCTCAGTCCTGGAGGGTTAACCTCTGGTGCCGGGGCAGCCACAGCACACGGTAAGATCAACACAGTAGAGGACGAAAGAGGGGTGAGGGTCTGGTGGCTGCATGGGAGTTGCTCGGTATGAGGGGAGGTGATTGGGGACAGGACACGAGCGAGCAGCCAGCCAGCCTGATCCCTGACCTCTGCTGTGTTGATCAGCATCTGACCTTCACAGTGCTGCCTGGGGGGAGCAGCGTGAAGAGTCGGTTCATGTCAGGGGCAGAGAGAAAACATACAGTAACACTAGGGTGTTCAGATCCACACACACACACACACACACATTCATCCTGCTGGTGTGAACCATACATGACAACACACACACACGCAGGGCGTATTTTCTCAGGAGAAGTGGGAAAAAAACTAGCCAGCAGGAGCAGCAGCGACGTTCGAGCCATACTGTGTGACGAGCATGAAGCCAGAATCAATTCTGCCAGAGAATTGATGTTGAGTGATGAAGAAACAAAAGCCATAGAGAATCTGTTGGTTTTCTTTCCTTGTATAAAAGTCAGTGTGCATGATTTTATGATATTCTAGTTGTTATTACCACTGCCATCGTACAAGCTGTGATAATGACAAGACCATCTGCTGTAAGAAACCTGTATATAGTTAAACCTGCTCGCACACACACACACACACACACACACACTCCTAACTCGCTCTACGCCGACATCAAGGTTGAAGGAACAGCAATCGTCCGTCGCACACGCACATTAACATACAAATTGACAGACGCACCACTAGTGAAGCTGCTTGATCTTATTCTCTCTGTCCCTGAGACGGTCGGTGCGCAAATGTCTCTGCCTCCCCTAACCCAGTGCATCCCCCCTCCTCACCCCTAAACCTTTCACACACCCCCACTGGGTCCTCCTTTGGGAGGGGTCCCTGGCTGGAGACCAAGGAATTAAAATGTAAATGAAGTCGTGTTAACCCTACCCACACCATGTGTATCGTATAGTGGAGAGTAGTACTGTGATTTCAAAAACGTCTTGGAAAAAAAAAAAAAGACAAAGAGACAAACTAACTTTGTGTTCTTTTGTTCCCTGTCTGTTCTCATGTTTGTTTTCTTCAGTTGTTGTTTGCCGTGACCTTCTAGCCGTCTCCCTGTTTTAGAACTCCCTGTCCAATGTGTGGGACTGTTCTGTTCTCAAGACTGAGTAATCTTATTTCAAAATTGAAAAGCTGCAGAAAACAGTGTTTGCTCACATATTTTAACTCCTGAAACCAGACAAAACTATATCTGAATAAAGAAAATATTTCAGTTGCAGGAGTTAGCATATAGGCATCATTTAAACTTTGTTAATTTCCCATTAATCCCAAGTGTAAATACTAGCTTTAATCCTGTTTTAGCGTCATTAGCTCTGGCTTCAGTGTCAATGTCAAAGTGAGTTCCAGTAACAGTTCTCACTCCTCTATTACATTAATATTCAACATTTCCAGCAAACTACTATTACCTTCTCTTTCCACAGGTCAGACCACATAGTCATTTTGGCTGAAATAAACCTGGAACCTTCTGCACGGCAGCTTGGAAACCCTGCACCGTACACCATACATTAGAGGAAACAAAAGTTGAATAAAACATGATCGGTGCTCATTAGCATCAGTAAGTACTTTGCTGTTATGCAGATGTTGGATTTATTACTACGGTAAAAGTAGAGGTATTCAGGAGTACTTCCAATAATCGTGGAGCACTGAAAACACAATGCATAAATCTGTGTGGCTAAACAACCAAGAAGATGAATGCTGGATGCCTCTGTCTAAAAGTTTTCTCAGAAAACAAGTTTTTAATTTTTTTAATTTTTATTTTTTTTGCATTGTATTGAAATATTGTGAGCAATTATTCTACTTTTTTTACCCCTTTTAATCAGTCATGCAGCGGCTGAGGCTCTCAGAACTTGCAAAAATAAATTCCACATATGTATTTTTGGCCCTTTGGACAAATGGTTGAACTCTCGACTTCTGTGTCAGGGTGAATAAGTGAGCAGTTTTTAAAGATTCATCAGGCCAAATGAGAACAGATGAATACATTTGTCTGGTTTTACATCAGCGTCAGCAGTTAGTGTCCAGGAGCTTCACTCAGTGTTGAGAACAAGACGCTGTCCTCCTGGACGTTTCCTCTCCCTGATCTGTCCCTTCTGTGTTTCCATCTCCTGTTATTTCTCAGTGGAGATTAGATTTAGCAGACAGTGGGAATGTGCATCGTGATTGCTGGTGGTGTTTGTTGTGTAAACATCAATCACACATGTAAGCGTTGATGAGGGTGTGCTTCATTTTATGATCTTCTTACTTCCTCCTCCTCCCTGTCTCCTCGACCTGTCCGTCCCTGTTGTCCCCGTTCACAGTATTAGGCTGGTGGAGTTATGGTGGTGTGGTAGTAGACACGTGTTCTGTGTGGTCAGTGTTCTAGTTACGCTGTGTTGCTGCCTGTCGTGCCGTCGAACACGAAAGCAGTGAATGGATTAGCGGATTTAAAAGATGAAAGGGGCGACCCAGGATCCTCAAAAATAAAAAGAACAAAAAAAAAGTATTCCCATTTCACATCCTGCCCATTTTAAAAAAACCCAACTGGACCTTTCCTTCTCTACTGAGAGAATCTACGGGACACTTCTCTGGATATGTATGTATGTAATTAACCTGCAGTCACACCTCAACTGTCAACTGTTGGTGTGGTCGAGCTTTTGGTTTCTGTTTTGCTTCAAAACAGTGGCCCTTTCATTGAAAAACAACATTTTTTGGAGGTTTGCATTCAAGCATGTTTATCTTCTGTATTCCTGAGAGTTGAGAAACGTGTTTCATGTTTATACTGAACAAATGATGTCCGTGTTTCACAGGTGTTCAGCAGAAATCATCGCCTCACCGGTGCCGAAGTGATGACCGGGAAAACTGACTCTGATTCATCTCTCTGCTGTGGTTCTTCACAAAGTAGGGCTGAGCAATCCCCAAAATCCCTCCTGCAGTTCGTCCTTGCCTTAGGTTGGTGGTGGAAGGGGGGGCGGTTAAGACGCCCCAATTACAGCAGCAGCAGGAGGGCTTCAGGGATACCTTTAAGTCGGCAAGTTTTCAATAACTCTTCCTTCAACTACAATAATCAATACAGCTATCTATCTTTAACATATTTTAGCTGATTTAACAGTCGACTACTACCAGTAAAAAAAACAAAATAGGTGCAAACATCAAATTAACTCAAATTCCAAGTTGACACTGGTGACGATTGTCCTTCGATTGGACTTTGTCATTCTCCCATTTGTACATCTTCACTCCTTCCTTTGAGTTTAATTGGCAGTTTGCATCGTCTTTATTGCATTACTGCCCCCTACTGGACAAATATCGTGACCACCTGTTAGGAAAAGGAGGGAGGTGGAGAATTCAGACAGAACTGATGTTCTAAAGTCAGCTGTACTTTACCTTTGTGACCAGTGGCTCCCTCCTCTGGAACACCTTTATGATTGTGTTCTCTGTCTTCAGTCTGTTGTCATCTCCAGCTCTATATGAGATCCTAATGAGCCCATCTCTGACTCCATCTCATCCAGCTGCTGCTTTGATTTGATTAGACTTTAGATGAATTACCCGAGCTTAAAGGAGCAGTAATGGGAAGGGGGAGACGTGAGCTCGGGCAGACTGGGTGATTACTTGGTATATTAGGTTCATTTCCATAACAGATGTCTCAGATCAGATGACCTGAATCCACCCTGACGTTTAACCTTTAATGACCTTTATGACCTGAGGTGGTTCACATCAACTGTTCCTGAGGTTCTGAGGCAGAACACCTCTGTAGGATTCTCCAAGCACCTTGAAAATATAACGGTTCCATCTTAACCTTGACCAGTTTAAATCAGGACCCCCACCTCCCTTTGTGCGTGACATCACTGACGCCTAGTGGTCAAAAGCGTAAACGGTAAACAGCATTCCAATGCTCTTCAACTACCAGTTATATACAGTATCGTTGGTTGTTCAAAGGATAAACAGCTGTGGGTCATGTAATATAGCACTAAAGTTAACTGATTGACTGTTACATTTATAGCTCAGTGCTGATTTTCTCTGCTGTCATCTCTGGAACGATGCTTTGCTTCCCCTTGTGAGAAAAGATTTTACTGCAACAGGCCTCACTTTTTTTTTTCAAATTATCCTGGCCTGAGTCCTTTGAAAGTATTCAAATGAAGATTCCTTGTGTTTATTCTGAGATGACTGAACTCCTCCACATATCTATCCGTACGTAGAGGATGTGTTCAGGCGTGTGGGCTGTAGATAAAGTGATTGATATTCCAAGCAGCGTGATGGGACTGATCAATGCTGTCTGTATGGGGGAACGGATTATTAATGGCATTCTTCCATTGATCTATCCTGATCCCTGTCACTGTCCCAGAATTCATGTGGACCAGCACAAGGCACGTGGAGGGAAGTCCACAGACCCGGTCCAGGTCTGATTTGAAATTGGCATACAGAAGCTATTTAAATTCTGTGTTTGGTGGAGTGCTTGGTGCCAGAAAATTCAACTAGAGTAAACAAGACGTAATCTCTGTCTGACTGTCTGACTCTCTCGCTCTTCTTCCCTCTCTGTCCGTCACTTTCTTTTTCTCTCTTTTCCTTTATTTTTCCTCCTGACACCAACCTTGTTCTTCACTAACTCTCTCACACAACCCATCATTGATTTCTGAAACCCAGGAACGGGCGCTGAACACCAACACTCCAGTTTAATACACAGCTTGTTAAACTATAATAATACACTGTACTCCCATAATATGGACAGCCAGAGCCCAAATCTTTAGTCTCCTCTTTCTAACAACAACCACAGCGAGCAAGATTACTGATGTGAGGATCCCTGGACGTGAGGAAGAGAATCTGTACATAATAGGTCTATTAGCCATATCATGTCATCCAATCTGTTGACTTTTTTGCCATGTCTGACAGAGGAAAATGACTGTTGAACTGTAAATAGTGTAGCTATAGTAATAAATTAGGATTCAATCGCTGCTTCTTGTTCTCCAGGGATCGCTCACATCCTCTCAGTCCCACGGCTGCTTGGTCTCATGGCGAAGGACGAAGTTAATGATGTAACTGTATGTAAAATTGTTTTTATTTTGAACATATATGTTTTATATACCGTCTGTCTTGTAAATTAACTTCTTTTTTGTTATAAAAGCATGATGTGATTCTGTCACCGGAGGTCACTGTCTCTCTTTAATGACTGATAACAGCCATCGACCAATCAAATACTCTTTGGGAGTTAACTGTTGTAAAGAAGTAAAGTAGGACATATATATATATATATATTACACAGGTTTTTCAATAGAGTCAATAAATACTAGCCAATTTTTTCAATTTTTTTAAAGAAAAATATGTTTGTTTACTTTTTCATATGTCGTACCTAGCAATATTCAGTTTATAATCTTCAATAAATACTAGGACAGTAATAGACATAGTATTAACATTATAACCATAGAACTAGTCATGGTTGCCTCATTTTTGCATTCCCTTTTTTTGCCACTAGATAGCACTCATCCACCGCAGCCAGAGTGGATCCTTCAGCTCACACAATGAAACCCCAGTCATGCAGCCAATTGTTTTGTTTTTTATTTGTTTTCATCAAAACACACAATTTTACCCACACTGTGTATCAACTGGTGTAGTATTTGTTTCAGTACTTTTATCAATCTCCACTTTCCAAAGGCAGAACTGGGAATCAGAAGAAAGGTTCTCAGTGTGTGTGTGTGTGTGTGTGTCCGAGTGTGCGTATGTGTATTTGCACCTTCTGCCTTTGTGTGCAGGCATTTGATCAACATTTTCGATTAGATGTCCACTTAACAAGTCACATCCCCCTCCCTCGTGGCCGAGGCGGCCCCTGGGTGCCGTGGCCCCCACAGTAAAGGTCACTCTGAAGGGGTCAAAGGTGACTACACACACATGCATACGCACATACACTGATCCATCTGAGAGCCATCCTCCCTGTACTCCTCCCACCTCCCCTGTCCAGTCAGGATCACTGCCGTCCTCCATCGCTCTCTCTCTCTCCCTCCTTCTTCTTTCCTCTCTGCTCTATTTGAAATTGATTGTCTTCTACCATCACAAAGACACTTGGTTCTGATTGATTGATTGGTAAGGGAAGAGAAAGAGAACATTAACACTGGGGCTTCCAGATTTCTCAGGTTTGTCTGAAGAAAAAAAAAGATACCATTTTGATACACTGGGAGAAAACACATTTCCAGCTGCCTGATTGTCTGTTTGTTTAGGCTCCTGCAGCAGACAAACATCCAGGCTGATCGAATTTGGATTGAAGAGGTAAACACAGAGAAACTCACACTCACGCTTACGTGATGAAACAAGAGGTAAGTACAGATACAGACACGGAAATGTGAACGCAATCTCCACACAGACACCGAGGGGTTCAGTACATGGGGGGCGAGGGAGGACAGTGATGAAGCCGAAACATGTACAAATACATGTTTATATACAAATACAGAGACAATACATGAAAGACACAGAGCTAGTAAACAACGTAAAGACCATTTGGAAACCAAAACCAGTATTGTTGTCCCTGTTTCTCCCCCTCTCACAGTTCATCCTGCCGTTTATATACACTTACTTTTTATCCATGCAAAATAAAAGAATTGCTCGTCACACCCCTAATAACAGAGGTGCCTTGGTTGAATTTAATTTTTTTAATATGGGAATTACTTTACCACACATAGGCCGTCAAATACAAATGAATACAAACATCCATGGAAAGCATAAGTTGGGTGTTTCCTTCTGGCTTTGTCTCAGTATTCCTTTATATCCCAAATTATTCCTTCCAATATTTGATCTCCTGTTAGTCCACGGACCATATGTAGAGAATGGACATACCATTTTACAGATGGGTTGCAGTGTTTGTGAACCTGTGAATTTGCCCAAATGGATACATGATTTATTTCTGCTTGTTTTAATAATGCCATCTTTCATGTATTTTTTATATTCTGTAGGTAAATAATATTTGTAAAAAAATAACAATAATTGTGAAATCTAAAAATGGTTATAAAACGTTTGTTTTGAAGGTCTAATGGGGGTTGAGTGTGGGAGGGATTTATTTGTCCATTTACCTGATAAAGGTTTGAATAAGGTTTTAAGATTGCAAATAAACGTAAAAGTTAGAAATATATATATATGTATATATGTATATATACATATATATATAATGTTTATACAGAATTATATCCTATATGTCCGACTTCTTATGCATCAGTAAATTTTATTTATTCTGCCGATAGTCAGCAACAAGGAAAGTCCCGTCGATACTGATGTTCTGGCTGCATCCATAATCTGAAGTCTATCAGAACTCTACATGAAGTTGAGATGAAAATCTCTTTTTAAATTACCAAAACAGTCACAGTTAACAACAGATAATCTGTAAAACCCAGGGACGCTGTGTGAAATGTAAATTCAATTAGAATACAGTCTCTACCACCCATTTTAAATTAAATATAGTACAAGACACAATATTTTATTTTGAAACTGGTACATTTTATTGTCTTTTGCAATTGTTTACTCATTTTGAATTAAAATTTCGGGGCACGGACAACAAAGAAAAAAAAAGTCTTACTTTTCATTTCCTTTCCTGTGGAGTTTCTCTTCAAACTGATGGAGTACCACAGGTGTTTGTCTCATTGCTTCACTGTAAAGCGTTGAACTACAATTACAAACTACTGTATGTCCATTTCCTACGTAAGGTCAATAACTCCGTCTCCTTTCACCACAAAAATGTCAGCAAGCAAAGTAACAAAGATTTGAAAACAACAGGACGGCACACACTCTTCTGAAGAAATAGAAAAAGAACAATCGTTTCGCTGTGACTTCAACGTCATTGGCTAAACATTGTCATTATTGTTCCACTACATAACCTTAACAATAAAGATTTGAGGTATATCAAGATGAATTGTCTTACACGTGCCTGCCTCACTGCAATGCTACCCTGGACAGAGGGACCAGCCAAGAGGTCTTCAGATGGACGGGGGTCACCGGAGGATGTTGGGATGAAGTGGTGCCCAAAGGTCTGCACCGATCGCTGATTGGCTGTTTGAGACGTGTTGTGTTGAAATGTGAGCGAGAGAATGTGTCGTATGTGCAGTGTCGGAGAATGTCATAAACTGTGCTACACGGACACACACGTGCACACACACTCGGTTTAAAAATTACACAAAAATATCTCTGTTGGGAGTGTGTGTGCACGTGTGTATTATGGAGAGGATGGGAAATGAAAATGAAAAGAAAAAAAAACCAAACAGGAATGTGGATGTCAACATTCTTTCTCTGTCGTTGCTATTTGAAAAAAAGTGTCCATTCAGTGTAGCTCTCACTTCATCCAGCGTGTGGCCCTCTTAACCTCCACCTCTGTGTGTGTGTGCTCCTGTGTTTGTGTGTCCTTGTGTTCAGAGCAGTCCGACCCCTGGTTGAAGGAAAAAGGCACTCAACTCTTCCCACATAACAAACACCACCGGATGTGTGCGTGTTTGCCATGCAGCACGACTGCTCTGACGGTGTGTGTGTGTGTGTGTGTGTGTGTGTGTGTGAAGCACAGACTTGCATCTGTATGTGTGGTTTGTGTTGGTGCAGTGTTTGCTTGTGTGCACTTCTCAAGTCCAGTGTTAACACGGCAGACTTTTGAAGTATCTTTGGTATTGATGGCTGTGTCACAGTCCACTCTATAGTGAGAGGTAGCCAGCGACACACACACGCACACACACACACTCATACAATTACATGTGTACAGTGACAAACACCTTGGTTTGGATTTTGATATTAAAGGTAAAGTATGCAGGAATTTTTTATAGCATCATATCAAATTTCAATCAAGAGTTTTGAATAGTGACAAGATTTGTTATTGTGTATAAACACTGCCCTCTGTCTGTGATTTCTCTAAGTCACAATATTTTTAGTCAGAATTGGACGTCCTCTCTTAGTCTCATTTTTGGAAACAAGGTTAATTTTGAAAACTGTATTCATTTTCTCAAACTACTTATATTAGCCCCTAGCCTAGCCAATCCCAAATGTTAAATTTTAACTTCAAATTCCTGCATAATGCACCTTTAACATCTGGGCTAAATTAAATGATGTGTTCCCCATCTGGACAAGAACTGCTGTGACACCCTCAACAAGGAATCTGATATAGTGCACTGGTCAGAGCTCAACCTCTGGAGGAATGTCACGTGTGTCCGACCAGTCCGATGACAGGCCCCCTGCTGCCCCCTGCTGCCCCCTGCTGCCCCCTCTTCCCTCTGTCTGCTTCTCCTCTCTAATATGATTATCTCCCGCTACAAGATGCTACACGACAAGTGTCTTTGCCCACAAATAAATAAGTAAATAAGTAAAGACATAAACAAAGACGTAAATAAAAATGAGGCGGTTCTCATGGTAACCAAAAACACCATCAGCAGAGGAATGCAGTGACAGTCCAGTTCAAAGGGGACAAAGTTCAGAGATCAAACAAGAGGTCCTCGGTGTCCAGACAATCCGTGGATAACAGAAACGCACAGTTTGTCACTCGTGGTATCGCTCCCTCGTCTGTGCATAGGATCAGTCTATGACATGATGGGTTTCCTTTTTTTCAATAGTTTTTTTTTTTTTTTTTTTACATTTTGTTGACAAGGTGCTTCTTTACATATAGTTTCAGCACAACATAGCACAATAGTCACGAGAGAGAAACCATGTGTCTATGGTACTATTATTACCCGCATCAATAGTAAAGAGGTAAAACTAAAGGAAGGACACAACAGGGGAGGGGTCTTTAGCAAGAGAGTAGATAAATAGAGAGTAGGTAAGACAGGGGGAGGTGAACTCAAAGATTATTTACAGTCTTTTTCATTGTGTTTCATGTCAACCACGTCAGTGTTTTTCTGAGGTATGGAACGGGCTACGTGCCCATTTTTTAGTGCTCCCAGTTCAAAGGTTGTAATGACCGCGCACAGCGGGGTGTGTGGTGAAGGGGCAGACTGTTCTCTGATTATCATAAAGAGGCAAACATCATTGGCACTCAGGATCCTATTATAATGTGACGTTTGACCTCTGTGTTTGGCCACTAGAACAGAGCAGACCCCACCAGCCCCCCCGGACGTTTTCAACCCCAGGGACGATACCTTAGTGGGTACAGAGAGTGTCGACCCAATATGATTGTTCTCCTCTTTACCTGAA